AGTAAATACTTTTTATCAATTAATTTTCAATTAAAAACTGAATTAATAAAAGTTATATAATGAATAATAAATTTAATTTTTCCAAACTTACAGAATAACTGATTCACTAGTCGTAAGCCAAGCGCCTAAATAGTCGTCAAAATTAATTGTATTACAAAATTATGTTTAAAAATCAATTTAAAATGGATGAAAAGTGAAGGGTAATTACCGGCGGCTTTCATGCGTTCAAATGCAAACATGCGGTCAACCATTGATCGGGAACTACAGCCGTCCACTACTATATGCACGTCATAGCCTTTGAAACAACAAAATGTAAATTAATTTCTAGTAAATTATTTTGTATATCAAATATCAGCGAAATTATTATTTAAAAGTGTAATATTTAGTGACCATTATTGATGGCCTGAAGAGCTGTTCCCTGAACGCAGACGTGAGCCTCAATGCCGCACAATATGATAGTATTGACGTCCGGGTGATCCGCTTTCAGCGATTTGAGCACTTCGTCCGTTAACATTGAGAACTGGGTTTTGGCCACCGGTTTGATGTGCGGGTAGTCTTGTAGTGATAGCTCCGCCACCGTTGGACCTAAACCTGTGTCCAGTAAATGTCCAAAAAGCCAATGTTAGCAATCATTATCTTATAGTAAATACTTTTTATCAATTAATTTTCAATTAAAAACTGAATTAATAAAAGTTAAACAAAATTATCAAAACTTTTTTTGAATACAATTTCGAAAACAAAATAAAACAAATTAAAGTGATTTGCAATAAAAGATCACTTAATTTGTGAGAAAACTGTTACTCTTTTTCATAACAAAAAACACAACAAATGTATTGAAAAAAACACAAAACACTTGGTTTTCAATCAGTCTTTGAGTTTACGCTTAAATTGTGTCCAAAACACGTGTTAACCACCGATTGCCACATCACTGGCCAACGGATCCAATGCCGGGCATACCGTTCACTCGATTCGTAGGTCTCGACCCATTGGTCGCGCATCAGCTGCGGTGCGGTCTTTGCGGACACATCGCCCGCAACGGTGTCGACATCGGATGCGGACATCTCTTCTGCACCGATTGTCTTCAGGAGTATAACCAGAAGCGGACCAATGGGTGGCAGTGCGCCGATTGTGGCCACAAACTGGTCGTTATTCAGCCACAAAACAGCGGCGACTGGTTTCCGGCCGCCGATAGCCGTCACGACGAAGCCGTCAACCAATTGATGATTAAATGTAATTTCGCGGACAACGGATGCGCTGAAGTGATGGCCTTCGAGTCGCTGTCGGCACACTTGACTGTCTGTCCGTACGGCCCGTGCGGTAAATGTGGTCTCAAATGCAAGGGAGCCGTCGCCAAGAGGAAGGTGTGGTCAAAGGGTCTGATCAAAGTTGGTTACAATTGCCGTCCGGTCTTTGGCCGCTACTGTTGACCACCCGAACCATTGGATCTATTGTCGCCTTTTTATCTCGTTTTTACCACTTTTTTTGCAATTAATTTCAGTTTAAATGCTATAAATTGCTAACAAATGCTATACTTTTGACATTATTTCATATCATTTTTGGTTTTCATTTATACAGTAATTACAGTTAACTTTAAAATTCAATCATATGTTTATAAGTTATAAATTATAACTATTATATACTTTAATGACATATTATTTCATTACTAAAGATTACGTTTTGACTCAAAAATTTAAGTTTTGTTTAATTTGTTTTAACGAAATTGTATTCAAAAAACCACTCATTTTTTTAATCAATCGGTTTAACCCAAAGTCTGACAGAAATTGTATTGTTTTTTCATAATTAATGGCAATTTTTGTTTAGTTTGAAATATATTTATGAAATTAATTAATAATATTTTCAATAAATTTAAGTTAACTATTAATTGTGTACTAAATTTAATCCAATAAGATATGAATACAGACCTTTCGGGTACTGTTCGGTGACAATCACTGGCATCTAATATAGTGTACGAAAAATTAATAATATTTTTAATTAAATTAAATAAACAACTTTTGGTAAACAGTTTTTATGCATAAAAAATTGAGTTTTAGATTAAAATTGATGTTTAAGTTAATGATAGAAAAGTTAATTAAGTTTATAATCAAGTTTTTTGAGTTATGAAAAACGGTATAAATGTTTGAATCTATCATTATATGAATGCATTAATTGATTGCTAATATAATTAACGATTAATTGTACTAAAAATTTTCAAAAAGATTTTTTTCTAAATTATAAAAGTATCTAAATTTTCAAAAAAAACTTCAAAACTTTTAAATGTAATTAAAAATATAATCTTAAAAAACAAAATACGATTCATTAAGAAATCAGTGATTAACTGAACTAAAGTGAGATAATTATTACTGAATTAAAACTAATTGATAAGAGAGTTATGAAATGTGAAGGCTATTCAATAGGCAATCGTTGATTATAATAACAGTTAACAGTAAAGTATTGGCAAAAAGTGCTAATCTATGCAATAAATTAAATAGTTTTCATTTGTTGTCTAAAAACTAAATTAAATTAATTGAAAGCCTAAAACTAGTAAACAATATCGATATAAATGACAGTAAAGTAGTGTTAATCACATTCAAAATGTTGGCCGCTTTGAGGACCCGATTGGACACATCGACGATCGCCGGGAAGTACTGAATAGTTGTCCGAAACTTTTCCTGAATGTCGCACAGGAATAGCGCCGACTGTCTGCTCACCAGTTGTCCCACACGTGCCCCACAGCCGCTCATCCTATGTGTATATAGATGTGGTCACTCTACCCGACGGTACAATTTGGTTAATTTTAATTAAAACAGTATAAAAACTGTAAAATAAATGCAAAATATTTGTCTATTTTTATTGAAATGCCTTTAAATGTCTCAACACTTGAAACTCATTGAAAACTCGAGTGTTGTTTACGATTATCGCTGTATTGAAGGCATCATATCATTGGGGCTCACATTTGAGGCATCAATAATGCCTTCATTTGAATGAGAAAATAAAGTTCAAAAGTTTTGTTCAATTCATTATTCAATGAAAATGATGTTTCCGTTTCTGTGTTTTTAACTTTATTTGTGTTGACTTTTATAAATGTTTTGATTTTTAGACTATTTATAAATATATATTGATTTTTATATCATTTCAAACGATAGCGTAATAAATGTCTGTATTTTTGATGTAATTTGTGGTATATTTTAACGAATCAAATGACAGACGCATTGATGACATCATTGCGAGATTATTCTGGAGAAAGTCATTAATACAGTCAACACTCGCTATTGTGAACATCCAAATACATTCACATAATCCATAAATACACTATTAATAAGCTAATAAAAATTAACAATTAATTAAATTAACAAATATATAAGCAATTTAATAATTTGCGATCTAAATAACCAAGCTACTATTAGTGTAAAATTGTATGTAAAACTAACCAAGCTAATTGTAAGTTTATGCACACCACCCACTTTTGCAGCCCTACCTAAGCGTTGTGCACACGAACCGCACATTTTGCGGCGCTTATAAAGCGGTGTCTTTGACTGACCGCCCGATGTCTGCCATTTTGTCCGCAAAGATAACACACTTTTCCGAAGTTTAACTATATTTTGATTGAGTTTTTATCAAACAATCATTGAATTTGTTTCCCATTAAATGCTTTTCAAACACTTTGAGTGACTTTTTCTTGAGTTTAGAAAAGTTTGAAACAAAAGTTTTGTTTGAAATTTTGTCCGTAAATATTGACTCAACTTTTGTTTGAATGAGCGGTGAGTTTGAAATGTATTATTATTTTGTATAATTGTTTTCACATAAAACTATTATTGTATTTAATGTTAATTTTTATTCATTTAATTTAATTATTTTTATTCTGTTAATTTTATTGATTAATTACTGTAGTATTAGTTGTATATATTTGTTGAATTACATTAGGGAATGAATTAATGTTTTTAATCAATATTGGTGTTTATCATGTCAATTTATTTAAAAATTCTTAAATATATTAAATTACAAATATATTTATAGTTGTTGTTATATTTAGTTTATTTGTATTTACACTAAATTACTAAAATGTACGAAAAAGAGTTGTTTGCACAATTTTTAATTAATTTTTTAAAATTAACTAAAACTTTATTAACAAATAGTTTTAAATACTTTCGATAGTTATTTGTTACAAATTATACCGTATTTTCAGTTTAATCTCAATATAAGATTCACAAAAACATTGATTTCTATTTATTTTACATTTGATATATAATTTATCTCAAAAATAATTCATATTTAACTAAATATTTATTTAAACACTTTAATGATTGCACACAAACTCTAGACTTTCTGTCCCTTCAATTACTGCCTCCTTCTCCTGACCACAAATATACAAATGTATAGTTTTTATCATCAAATTTTTAATGATCTTATGACCACATTTGATTAGTTTGTGACTGCATTATAGATGTAACTTAAGATTTAGGTTCTGTTTCATTGCATGTTTGTTATCCAATCAATTTATTACTTTATTTTACTTTTCATTTATAGTATAATATAATTTTAAAAATTTATTACCATTTAACCAATTAAGTTATATTTAATTAAATTAGCCTATATTATGATACTTATAGTCTATAAGTTATAGAAGTGCTCAATGTAAATATCTATAGGGTTGTTTAAGTATTTACAATTCAGATGTTAAGTAAATTAAATGTTAAATCATAGACAATAATTGGTTGTATAAATTTAACGTCTCTTATCGTGTTTATGTAAATTCGTTGAAATTATATATTATCCTAAAAAACAAATATTGCAATTACAAAATAAATATTTTTGTATTAGTTTTTGATATACAGTAAATCTGATAAATAATATTTATATTTAAATGACATATTTATATACAGTATAAGTAAACAATAAATAACAGCACTTAAGAGTAAATCAAATTAATTTTTGTAAAAAATTATCACTTAATTAAAGAGAATAAATGCAATTTATAACTTATAACGAAGTTATGAGTTATGTTAAGTCATAAGTTATGAACATAAACGAAACACTATGCTAGCATATTTTATAAGTAAGTATGTTTTTGTTCTCAATTACAATACAGAATATGATATTAACGCAAGAATACTGTGTGAAAGCTATTGAATAACAATTAATTAAAATTTTTTATGACTTTTAGGTTACGTGAGACTAATAATAATTTTATGATATATTTGTTAAATAGTTGTAACGATTTTTGTTTTCATTTTAGAGATTTTTATCAAGAATTTATTTAATGTTTTTTACCGTTTTTTTTTTAAAATTTTTGTTTTGTCATAAATAGGCTCCGAACTTTTCTGCTGCTTATGAGTAGTGCTAAAAATCAAGCTCTGGGACAAATGGTAATTTACGACAAATACTATGATTTAATCAGACCTGTAATAAAATTGTTTAAACCAAATTACTATATAATATCAGCTAAAGCTATAAAATATTATAAAATACTAAAACAAGCGTAATATAAATTATTAATTTAATATAATTTTATAAATTATAATTTGTCCCAGAGTTTGATTTTTCGCACAACTCATAAAAATGAATAAATAGCAGAAAAGTTCGGAGCTTAGTCATAAAGTAATAAATTTTACACAATTATAAATTGATGATCTAGAATCTAGCTGTTTCAACAATAATATAATCTATGTGATTTAATTTAATTTAATGTGATACTGATATGAATATTCTGCAATTAAATGTAAAACTATTTTGTTTTATTGCTTTCAGTGTTTACTCCATAAAAGAGAGGAATAATGAGCTGTGAATTGAATTTGAAAATTTCTGGCCTTAAATGCAATTCTTGTGTCAATAAACTGAAGTCTGCGGTCCAACCCATCGATGGTATCGACAATATATCGGTAGATCTGACCACTGGTAACACAAGAATCGCATTTAACTCACGAGTGATCGACGAGAATAGGATTCTCGATGTCGTCAACAATGATAGCCAATTGAAGATCACGTGTGAAGTGTTGGGAACAACCGTTAGAACCAGTTCTAAGAATTGTCGCCGAAATCAGATGAACAACAAAAACGACTCAATGAATGACAGAAAGGCGAAGAGGGCTTTGTTGCTGAGCCACGAGCCACACGACGGACCCGTTAAGTGCTATCTACGGATCCGAGGCATGACCTGCGCCTCGTGTGTGGCCGGCATTGAGAAACACTTAATGAGCGGTAAATTTCCGGGCATTAAAAGCGCTTTAGTGGCACTCATGGCACAGAAGGGAGAGTTTGAATACAACCCAAAGTTGATAACACCGGCGAAGATCGCCGATATTGTCTCCGATATGGGATACGACGTGACGGTTCTCGAGACACAAACCGCGCAATCGCTTCACGACATAAAACTACATATTCTTGGAGTGGATTCGGCGACGGATATGACTTTAATCGAAAAAGAGATACAAAGACAGATCGGTGTCCGCGAAGTGGAGACAACGTTTGACACGCAAAGAGTAAAAGTGATTTACGACCCGCAAGTGGTCGGACCGCGAGATATAATCAAATGCATAGAAGCTCTTCAGCGGGGGTTTACGGCATATCCGGTGAGCGAATCGGCCGGCAGTTCGGCCGACGACGCCATGTTGGAGGAGATCCGGAAGTGGAGGAATAGTTTCCTGTTTTCGTTGTTGTTTGGAGTGCCGACAATGTTTGTCATGTTATTCTTCATGTACGCAATGCCGGCCATTCAGGGCTCACACGAATACATGTGTTGCCTAATATCGGGCCTGTCGTTGGAGAACCTGATACTCTTCGTACTGTCGACACCCGTCCAGTTCATCGGTGGCCGACATTTCTACGTTCAGGCCTACAAAGCCCTCTCACATAAAACGGCAAACATGGATGTGTTGATTATGTTGGCCACGACTATAGCCTACTTCTATAGTCTGGGTATTTTGCTGTATTACATGATCCGTGGCTTCAACGCCAGTCCCCTCACGTTCTTCGACACACCGCCGATGCTTCTGGTGTTCATATCGTTGGGCCGTTGGCTCGAGTGTAAGGCCAAGA